CAAAGGCCCTGAAAATCTCGGGCCATTAAATGAAAATAGATTTTCCATTCTGGCGGAGCCTGAAACAGAGTCTGAAGAATTAGCCCCAAAGAAACTTAAGCCCCCACCTATCTTTGTTCGGGAGAAGAACTCCAACGTCCAGTCAACAAAATAGTTGAGCTTGTCGGAAAAGATAACTTTCATGTTATTCCGCTTATGAAAGGGAATATAAGCGAAACCAAACTTCAAACCAAAACAGAAGAAGATTTCCGAGCAGTGTCGAAGTACTTTAACGGTGTAAAAAAGAATTACTACAGGTACCAGCTGAAAAGTTGCAAAGGCTTACAAGTTGTGCTCAAGGGAGTATAACCGGATGTGACCCACTCCGAAATTATAGAGGCTTTAAAAGAAAACGATTTTTGCGCAAAAATATGTTATAAATATAATAAACAAAAACAAGAAGCCGCAACCACTTTTCAAGGTCGAGCTGGAGCCAGCCAGCAGAACTTTGAAAAAAAAACCCAGTGCACCCGATCTACAAGTTGCAGTAACCGTAGGATCACAGTAGAAGAGCAGCACAAACGGAACGAGCCAGTGCAATGCACAAATTGCCAGGAATACGGACACACCAGGGCTTACTGCACCCTCAGGTCAGTTTGTATAGCTTGTGGAAACTGCCACGGCTCTGAGCCCTGCTCTGCCAACAAGGAAGACTCTCTTACTAAAAAGTGTGTAAACTGCCAAGAAAACCACACAGCAAACTACAGAGGCTGTCCAGTCTACAAGAAGATGAAAAGTCGTATGCAACGAGCGACAATGGCATGCCAGAACAGTTACATGAAATCACAAACGACACCGGAAGTTTTCTTCGCAGCCAGGTCATCATTTGGGCCTTCAGTTATCACCAACGTCATTTCCTCCGCTAGTGCTCTAAGATCAGGCACAGCTCACATAGAGCCGAAAATTGATAACATACAGCAGGCCATGGGACAGCCACAAAGTAACATGGAAACTACGATGATAACTTTGCAACAAAAAATGAATCAATTTATGTCCTTCATGAAAACCACCATGCAAACTCTAATGCAAAACCAAAATATCTTGTTACAAATGCTTGCAGCTCAGCAGTCCAAATAAATTATGCCTAGCCTTCGAATAACTCTGTGGAACGACAACGGTGTTTCACGGCATATACCTGAAATAAATCATTTTCTGAACGAAAACCACATCGACGTTATGTTGCTGGCAGAAACGCATCTCACCAGCAAATATAACTTTCAAATATGGGGATACACGTTCTACGGCACCGATTATCCAGATGGTAAAGCACATGGCGGCGTCCTAATAAAAGACCGCATCAAACACCACTTTCACCAACAGTTTGCAAAAAATTATCTGCAAGCTACATCGATAAAATTACAATTGGGTAACTGCAACCTTGCCATTGCCGCTGTCTACTGCCCACCCCGCTTTACAGTCACCGAAGACCAATTCATGGACTTCTACAATTCACTTGGAGAGCGATTCATAGCAACGCCAAGCACACACACTGGGGATCCCGCCTTGTGACCCCCAAAGGAAGGCAACTATATAATGCACTCATCAGAACATGCAACAAGCTGGACTACGTATCACCAGGAAGTCCTACATACTAGCTTACAGATCCTAGAAAACTACCTGATTTAATTGATTTTGCAGTGACAAAAAATATTTCTCGCAATCTAATATCTGCAAAATCGCTTTAGGATCTATCATCGGATCACTCACCAGTGCTAATAACTCTATTAATCGAGCACCCTTGCAGGCTGACGTCGCACCGAACGAACTGGCTGAAGTTCAAAAAGTAAGTTAAGTTACTCCCACATTGAACAAACTCCACAGCTCAACATTAAGGAGGACATCGACTGCTATGCCGATGCACTGGAGTCTGTACTCGTCCGCAAGGGAGGGATGGGCACACACAAACACAAAACTCTTCAGGCAGCTGGGCCAGAAGCGACAAAGAAAGAGCTTGTACATTTGCTTTACACCTTCGAAATGTTTTTCGGCCAAACCCTGCAAATAATTCATTCACACTACCGTCGCCGTCAATTCAATATACAAACTTTTTGTTTGTACCAATTGTGGTGTCAATGTTTCGCATTACAACAAAATCGCCTTCCTCAAATTCTATATGATCTTTATGATTTTTCTGAAAATATTCTTTGCTCCTTTTCTGGCACTGTTCTATTTTATCTGAAGAATTCTTATGCACATTTTCTAAATCACTCTGTGGTATATCATTTCTATCATCTAAGTATTCTGTTAATGCGTCAATATTGCAACCTCTCTGCTGAACTCCAAATAATAATACTGAGGGTAATTCCTTTGTAGTTGAATGCATTGAATTAATAATGGCATATTCGGCCCTATCTAAAAGTTTGCTCCAGTCTTCATGCTTAATTGGTTCAGTTATCTTGGCCAGCATCGCTTTTATTGTCCTATTTACTCTCTCCACCTGTCCGTTCGCTTGAGGTGACGCAGGTGCTACCTTAACGTGTTCGATATTATTTTCTAATAAAAATTTGGCAAATTCTAATGACGTAAAACATGTACCTCTATCACTTACAACTCTACGTGGTCGACTATAGTATTGAAAATATTTCGAAAAACACATGTTGACTTCTTTTGTACTCGTTGAATTCACTGGATACAACTTAACAAATTTGGTAAATCCATCAATAATTACTAGCAAATGTTTCTTTTTCGATATAACTGAAGGTAAAGGTCCAAAATGGTCTATGTGTAATGTATCAAACGGAATTGGTCGCTTAGGTATATTATGAAGTGTTCGATTATTCGCATGTGTGGGTACCGTAAACATGATACACTTTAAGCAATTTCCAATAAATGCATCTATTTTAGCTTTCATGTTCGGAAACCAATAGTGTCTCATTATTTCTTTTAAGCACTTCTCGGAACCTAAATGACATAAATTTTCATGAACCCTCCTAATTATATGGGATTCCATTTCAGCTGGTACATATAGCAATTCAATATCATTCTCACCTAATCTATAAACAACTCCATCGCTTAATATAAAGTTCTTCACACTTCCTTGTTCTAATTGTTCTTTCAATTTCACTATAATACTATCTCTATTTTGCGTTATCTGAAGCTGAAGGTTGATGTCGTCACTGTCAATTACTGAAACTATTTGATCTTTGTTGTCACTATTTTGGATATTCACTACTGGTTCATATTCAAAACTCTCATTTAAGGCTGAAGGGTATCTACTTAATGAATCAACATGAGTCATATATTTTCCACTACGATGCTTAAGGGTATAATTGTAATTAGCCAATTCTAAAGCCCATCTGGCAATGCTCGAGTTAAGGCGTCCTTTCCCTAGGCACAAAACTACTGCATTACAATCTGTTACTATGTTAAACGGAATTCCTTCTAAATATATTCTGAACTTTCGTAATGAATAAACTACAGCTAATGTTTCCAATTTAAAGCTTTCATATCTAGCTTCTAGTTTTGTTGCTCTTTGTGAAAAATAGGCTATTGGGTGAAACTTATTATCATCCTGCTTTTGCAACAAAATTCCTCCAAATCCCTCGCTACTTGCGTCGCAATGCAATTCAGTCTCTCGATTTGGGTTGTACAAGGATAATATGGGAGATGAAATTAATTTGTCACGAAGATATTCAAAAGTTTTTATACAATCCTCACTAAGTTCATACTTAACACCTGATTTTGTGAGCTCTCGCAATGGCTTTGCTATTTTTGAGTATGCCGGAATAAACCTCCTAAAGTAAGAAAATAGTCCTAAACATTTCTGCATTCCATTGCGATCTTTTGGTATCGGAAGATGTTTAATAGTTGATGTGTGCTCATAATTCGGACTTATTCCTTTTTCACTCCGTGTATACCCTAAAAATTCAATGCTTTTGTAAGCGAACTGGCACTTATTTATTTTAATTTCCAATCGGTACTCTGCTAAAATTCGTAATACTCTTCCTACAATCTTAAAATGTTCGTTCAATGTTTTCGAGCCTATAGCAATATCGTCTATATAAACTACTACATTTCCTTCGCGAATCAAAGGTTGTAGAATAAAGTTAATAAATCTCATAAATACTGCGGGTGCATTCATGAGTCCGAAAGGCATTCTTGTATATTCATATTGACCGGAAGGTGTTACAAATGCTGTATACTGCACGGAACTTTCTGCTACTTTCACTTGATGGTATCCATTTTTCAAATCTAACAATGTAAAATACTTATTTCCTTATAATCTCTCTAAGCAGTCATCTATGAGGGGAAGGGGGTATCCGTCTCGAACGGTTATCTTATTAAGTTGTCTATAATCTACACACATACGCTTTTCTCCAGATTTTTTCTTAACAAGAACGATAGCGGAACTATAGGGTGAATTGCTTTCTCTTATGAATCCTTTTTTCAATAACTCATCAATTTTTGAATCTACTTCTTTCTTCTCCTGATACGACAGTCTTCTTGGTACAGTGCGTACCGGTTCTTCAGACTTAAGTCTTAGCCTCATTTCATAACTATGTTGGATCGCTGGGATGTTAGATAAACATAAGTAATTCAATCTTATTATTTCACTGAGTTCGCTTCGATCTTCATCACTTAACTTCGGGTCAATGTCAAAACTTTCATCATCCTGAAATACATCAATACTATATATATACGGAATGCTGTCGTCACTAACTATTTCATTTTCTATATACAACTCTTCAAAATCTCTACTGCTTTCTAAATGGTCACTGCCTCTATATGTTTCACTATTCTGAAGTCTATTTATTGGTTCAATACTCACTATTTTCAATGGTTCACTATCCTTAAATAAATTCACTTCTACAATTTCTTTTACCTTATCCTTAGAAATCAATTTTATTCCAAATTTCTCAAAAAACTTACGGCCTAACAGAACATTAGTTGAAACATAATTATTGGGTACAACAAAAAATGAAATTTCTTCTTCTATGTTTTGAAAAACGAGACTGACAAAAATTTTTCCGAATGTTTTAATTTTAAATCCATTAACTCCATAGTAATTCGCCGGGACCAGTATATTGCTAAAGTTTTTATAAGGAATCGCAGAGTGCTGAATTAAATTAATGGCGCTTTCCGTATCGAACATGGCAGACAGAAGAGTTACGTTAGGCTTATGTTGGCAATCAGTGTAAAAATATACTCCTACCTGGTTAAAAATCGGAATAAACATATTAGGCTCCTCTTCGTCATCTCGTATCGGCTGGTTGTTGGCTGCTCCCACCACTCTCGGATCACTTGCTGGCTTCTGCTGACAATCCTTTAGCATATGTTGGAGGGATCCACAACGGAAACAAGATCCCTTCTCGCGTTTCGGCGCAGTGCACGACGAAGCGTAGTGCCCATAAGCAGAGCAATTGTAGCACCGGACTGTTTTCCGATCTCCTCCAGTATTTTCCATGCGCTGAGGAAAATTGTGTGACTTCTTCCTTAGATTGGCATACTTCCAAGCCAATTCCTTCAATTGTGCGATTGTTGTTGCTGTGTACAATATAGCAATATTGGCTGAACGATCGCGAAAACCATCAATGACGAACTGCACTGTCAATTTTTCGTCAATATTTACACGCATAGCAATTTCCTCCATCAGAAGTATGTATCCCATAACGGTGTTCTTCGCGGGGTTGAACATGGTTTCCTTAAGTAGCAATACAATATCAGCAGTTGAGCTTCCACGACCGAATGTTTTTATGAAATTTATCTTAAATTCGTCGTAAGTGTTCGATCGATCAACACTCACAAACAAGTCGGCATCTGTACCCGATTTCATCAACATTCGTACGCAGCGCAGTTGAAAATTTGTACATGTGTTGATATCTCTGCAGACTCTCTCAAAATTCAAAATCCACTTAAGGGCTTCCTCATTTTCAGTGGCAGAAAACGGGCTCACGAGGTGCTTCACCATTTGGAGGTCATCTGTCGTTTTGTCGACGTTTTTCATCAATCCGGCCAATATTTTCTTCTTCTCAGCAACCCTTATGGCGGCGTCAAGCAGTGCTTCTTCTTCTTCCAATGTCTGGATGCCTTCGGTAGCGGCTCCTTGGCTTAATACTTCCATTTTGGAGTTCTCCTCCTCTAATATGCTTTCTGGGATTTCAGCCACTTCTTGGTATCCAGCATCAAAAGCGAGCTTTCGCAATTGCCTTAAAGTTGCACTTGCAGGGAACTCGATTTCGTTGGCTTGTAGCCACTCACCAATTTGTGTCTTGTCCATTTCAGAATGGCGTCGTAATTATAAAAGCGGAAAAAAAATGTGTGCTCTCAGGTATGGCTATGTAGGCGAATGTATTAATGGGACTATCCCACTTCTGAAGTTGTTGACGCAGGTTTATATTATTTATTTCAATTCTTGAGTTTTTATTTTATTTAATTGCTGTTCAGCTTAGCTTTTTCACGTCTGCTTCCAATTGTCTCTCTTAATTCAAGTGTTACCCTATTCTGATCTTCACATAGTCCTTACTACTTATTCTACATTATTGGAACATCGGAATGGAACATAAGTGTTATTATTATTAAATTATTAAATAGTCACATCTTATATCCACTTGATCTATACAGCTTCCAATATACTGCTAACAATATATATATATATACATACATATGCCTTTTAACTTAAAGAAAAATATAATGCAACGACCTGATTCTTATTGCTCGCTCGCTACGTAAGAGAGGTTGTGGGATCGGTCTAGCAGGTAGAACTATGTTCTGCCTCTTCGCCCATCCACGATTCGATTTATTCACGACCTAGCACCCGTTGGATCTTAGCGTTGTAGTCTCAGCCTCGAAGAAGCCTCGTCGTTCGGCGTCTCGACTTTGCGATCTTGATCCCGGCACTCGCGTACACGAACTCGCTTTAATTCTAGCTCTATTACTACGGGGTGATCTGCGCTGCCCTTTTATAGCCGGCGATGATCCAGGTATCCTTCTTCTCCAGTTCGCGTGATCGGGTCCAAGGTCCACTGTTGCACCGTTAATTCACTGTGTGTCATCTTTGTGCGGGCCGAAGTCGAACATGTTACGCTTGCCGTATGAGGGTCCAATGTCCAGCTCTGCACCGGAAGCTAACGGTGTCTGTTGCATTTTCAGTTGAAGCCGTCGGGAAAATACTGAAACGAACCGATACGTCAGCAGGTTCCGCTATCGATAAGATTTGGTGGTGACACCGACTATTGATAGCGGGAGAGGATCTAGCTATTTAAATTTAGCCCGGTTCGCTCGTTAACTGGGTTAGATGGCCTTGAATACGTTCGCTGACCCATCTTGAGAGAGCGGGAGGGAACATGGCGAGCGACTTTGGTGTAGGTCAGGGTTTTGCTTTAGTTGCTGCAAGAAGTAGTAGGAGAACGGTCAGAAAAAACCCAAAATTTAAGTTCGTGATTAGTGTTTGAATAACTCAAAGTGAGTGTTTATTTATTAGTCCGGAACTTGTAAATTACAGTGTTTTTTTATATTGAAGCCGCCGGGGACCCTAACTAAAGGGCCCCGGAAATTTAAACATTTGGGAAGTGAAAACTTACCAGGCGGACCTAACCTGGTCGTCGACCACCAGCCGTCGCAGCATTGGCCTCAGCAGCATTGGCCGCAGCAGCATCAGCAGCAGCATAGGCCGCAGCAGCATCAGCAGCAGCATAAGCCGCAGCAGCATCAGCAGCAGCAACATCAGCCGCAGCAGCATTGATCAGTAGCAGCAGCGATCAGTAGCAGCAGCGGCAGCCTCTAGCGCCAGCAGCTACAGCGACTGCCGCCAAGACGGCCAGATACGGAGATTCCCTCGGTGAGTCCGTTCCGGGAACGAATGCCCGCGCTGGCCACGTGGTCATCTCCAAGTCCACCGACGCCCTGCTTCCGGCCACGCTACGCTATCCTCCGGACCAATTGGCTCCGTGCGGAGTCGCGCTGGTCTTCGCCATCAGCGTTTTTCCTGCTGCAGTTTCAACACATGCGACGTTGAACTCTGAAAAAAATTAGTTTTAGTTATTGTTTTGTGATATCATATAGTCAAGATTGTAAAGTACTTACTGTGAAATCTAATCTAAATTTAGAGGCTCAAGCCCGAACCCTAGCCCGCGTCCAACTACATCTAAATTGGGTCGCGAAATTTAATGACTTGTGGGATTTGTTTAGCGTACTTACCTTGTTAGCACGTCCCTTCTTTTCCCTTGGAGCTCCTCAGGATTAGGCGACCCGGCTGGCGAACGCCTCCAAATTTAGTGCCGTGCGGCGACTTTGCCTGACACTTGGAACTTCAAGCGTCTAAAAATTTCCCTTTCGGTTGTTTCCGCTTTGACCGCTTCTCATCTGGGCGACGGTCTGAGATCGGCCTTAAAGTTTCTAACGAAAAGAATAGATTATCAGTAGGAATCAATTATGAATGTATTTACTTATTAATCTCACCAAGAATTAAATGTAAACAAGCCACCGAAATGGTTGTGTGAGTTACCTTGGGCGGGGAGATGAGCCGATCCTAATCCACCAGGAATAGACTCCGGTCTGCCGGAGATGGGGTGTGCCCCCACATCTTTCTTGGGGCACCCAAGGTTGGGTGGGTGCGTCGTGGCAAGGACATCGAAGCCACCAATTTCGTCGAATTGTCTTAGTTGCTTAATGTAAACATAGTTTTGTTTTGTTTTGATTTGTGCTAGAGATGGTAAATCGACGTGAGACGTCCGATGAGTCGGAATCGATTGTTCGGACTGCAGGGCATAGGGGGTACTCCGCCCTGGGACTCCGTGGCTAGCCGGCGCTGCCCTCCGGGAAAGATGCAGTTCCGTAACAATATGGCGCCCAATTTAACAAATAAAATATGTGATAGCCGAGTCGACGGCGTCTCGCATATTTATTATCTCCAGCCAGCCCACGAACGGTGGCTTGCATGACACACATGCAATTGCACCGGGATGCGGACTGGTGGAGAAAAGTTGTTTAAATTTTGTAGGAAGAAAGGGAGGCGTGTCCACTAGAAGTAGGACAATTGCTCCCGAAGCACAGTTCACAGGGATTAGCTGTGATTTGGCGGTGACATCCTCTTCGAAGAAAATCGAAGGATTCGCATCCCAGGTCGTCCGTGCAATAAGCACGAAAGGTTAAACCAAAAACGGTGATTAAACTGTGATATAGGTATTAGGGACATATTTTTTTTGTTAACGTAATTTTAATGAATGTCTTGTTTTGGGGTTACAGTGTAGTTGTGTTTTTTTGTGCAGATCCTTGGGTTTTCTGGGTATTGGCGTTTTCAGATCATATCGGTTTAAAACTTAAATGTGTGGTCGTGACCCGTGACTTCGTCACGCGCTGCTCGGCCACCGCGACTTGAATGAAAAACGCAAAGTCCAAAAGGAAATCCGATGCGATCCTGCAAACAGCCGAAGTCCTTAACTGGCGACTTTCAGCACAGCTGAAAGTTAGTCCAGTTGACGAGCGGTTTGTTTAGTGAGAATTCGGACGAAATTGTAGACGCAAGACGACTGGCGCGGAGTCTACCGGCTGGGGATCGGCTCCATCTCCCCTTATTGAGGCTGGAAAAAAAAAATAAAAATAAAAATAGAGAAAGAAATTTAGTCGAGGGACTTGTTTTTTTGATAAGAGCTAATATTTGGTGTGAATTTATTTAGCCTTAGGTATTTGTGGGTATTTAATATATTTTCTTATTTATTTCTTATGGGTTATGGTTTATTGTTTCTATTTATTTATTATTATTATTTATTGGCCTGGTAATATAGGTATTCGTATTATTTAGGTGCATATTATTTAGTGGTGTTTATTTATTGTTTATTATTATTTACTAGCATTCAGTATAATTTAATTATTTATACATAATTTGGGCTTTTGGTGGCCACGTTGAATTCGGGGTTTCAGAAGTCGTGTTAGGGGTTATCAAAATTCAAGATGTCAAAGCGACAAGGCAGCAAGCATGATCACCTGCTTCGGTCGAAAGGTTTTCCAGGCGAGGACGACGAAAAGATGTGGTCCACGGATGTGGAGGGCGCTACCGAGGCTGGCTTGCCGCGCATATCGGAAGGGTTGCCCAGGACTCCGCTTGCCCGTTTGCGCCAGGGACTGCAACAAGAGCAAAAAGGACCACAGGACACAGAGCTGCAGCAGGACCTAAGGCAGCAGCAGATCCTGGAGGGAATTGGTTCCGCAGCGGATGAGTTATTGCAGCTGGACGATAAGGACGCAAGACTCGACGATCCCTTTGTAGATTCCGCGGCAAGGTCGGCCGTTAATGTGGCTTTGGCACAGGCGGCGGAGACCCATCGGAAGGCCCAAGAAGGCGGGATCAATCAGGCACTGAGGGACGAGATCCGAAGTGGCTTCCTGGAGATGATGAAGCTGATGAACGAGGTGTTAAGGCCTGCTGCTCAGCGGCCTCAGCTTCCCCCTGGAGAGCATGCCGGATGAGCGAAGGCGTCCGGATTCAAGGATCAACGCGGGAATCCCTGGTCAAGCCCCGCAAGGTGCGGTGCCGAAGAACACACAGGTCACCGGCAGGGACGGTTCCAGGCTACCTCCGCCGAGGGTGCCACCCAAACCGACGAGGAGGCCGCTGGATTTCCAGGAGTTGGAAAGTAGCAGTCCCGGGTATCCTCCGGATCATTTCAGGTCGCGCCGAGACGATGGCCCGGCCCGCAGCTGGTGCATTGAGGACCGCAGGGCCTCAGAGTTCCGGGAGGAGCCGCGTCTGTATGCCAATGTGGGGCCGGCAGCCGCCAACCAGCAATGGCGAATTGAGCGGTGGGGCGTATCCTTCGACGGGGAGGATGAGCGAAACTCGGTGGAAGATTTTCTCTTCCGGTTGGAGTTCCTGCAGCGGCAGTGCCAATGTCCGTGGCAAGAGGTGCTCCGAAACTTCCACCTGCTGCTCACTGGGCGGGCTCGGGAGTGGTACTGGGTGCACGTGCGTCACTGCAGGGTGGACAGGTGGTCCCAGCTTCGAGCCTCGCTGATGGATAGGTTCCGATGCCATCAGACGGAGCACGATCGGATGCACCAACTTCTGCAGAGGGAGCAGCAGTCCGGAGAAGGAGTTGGCGATTACATCCATGCGATGCAGCAGTTGGCGGCTCGACTGAAAAGGCCACTGTCAGAGCGGCAGCTGGTGAAGATTATTAAAAAGGGATTGAGGGAGAGCATCGCAAGGTTTGTCTACGCGATGGACGTGCTCACGGTGGATGAACTGCGGGAAGAGTGCTGCGAGGTGGAGCGCAGTTTTGGACGACGTGGACGGACCACGTACACGCAGCCGATGCGGTATCCTCTGGCGGAAAAGGCCAAGGTTAGCGAGGCGATTGGCCCAGATCCTGCTGAGGATCCTCCGTGGCAAGAGGTGGACGAAGTGCGGGCGAAGCCTAAAAATCCGTTCCGAGCCGGCTGCTGGAATTGCGGAGCCGTGGATCACGGGTTCCGTGACTGCGCAGCAACAGAACGCAGAGTGTTCTGTTACCGATGCGGGAAGCCCGACACCGTGTCTCCCAAATGTCCGGATTGTGCGGAAAACGGTCGGCTGGGCGATCCGAGGGCGGAGAGGATGCGTCCAAACAGGAGTTCCGCAGAGAAGAAGAGCTGGTAGGGTTAGATAAATGTTTACCTTCTAAAAATAGTAATAAGTTTGCATTACGATACTTACCTTATGCGGAGAGGATGCGACGGTATCTAGAGACCAGGAACAGGATCTTCTCAGAGCACCAGTTGGGCGGGATGCGTATGGTGTCTCGTAAGGTGCAAAAGGCCAGGGAGCGATTTCGCAAACGTCGGAACTGCCGACGCGAAGCAGTGGCCGCCGTGAGGCGCAGTTTATCGCGAGATCCCAGACCGTTCGCCGCAGTCCGAGTTCTGACCAAGCAACTGACGGGGTTGTTGGACACTGGAGCGAGTGTGAGTCTGCTTGGAAAAGGTGGCAGAGAGCTGGTCGAGGCCTTGGATGTGCCCGTCCAGAAGTACTTATCCGCAGTCCGTACGGCCTCTGGAGAGGATCGGTCAATTATAGGACGGGTCAAGTTACCGGTGGAATACCGAGGACGGACAGAGCACATTCTCTTCTACTTGTGTCCTTACCTGGAGCAGCCAGCTTATTTTGGAGTTGATTTTTGGCAAGCATTCGGACTGGCCCCAGCGATTATAGGCCACATAAATTCGGAAGGCGTGAAGAAGGCCGAAGAATTACACGCCAGGAAGATGGAACACTACGCGGAAGTCGAGGATGACGATGAGGAGAAACCCGATCCCGAGTCCTGGACGCTTTCCAAGGCCGAGGAACAAGAGCTGGAGGAGATCAAGCAGCAGTTCTTGACTTTCGAGAGGGATGGCTTAGGTACCACCAGTCTGGAGAAACACATTATTGAGCTGATGGACGGAGCCAAAGTGTTCAAGGATCGACCCTATCCGATGTCTCCCGCGAAGCAGAAGGTGGTCGAGGACGAGGTCGACAAGATGCTAGCGCTCGGAGTCATCGAGGAGAGCAAAAGCCCCTGGAGTAACCGCACCACCGTAGTGTCAAGATCTGGAAAACACCGGTTCTGCTTAGACGCACGTAAGCTTAATGATGTGACCATCAAAGATGCTTACCCGTTGCCCAGCATAGACGGCATCCTGTCCAGAATTGAGCAAACATACTACATTTCCAGCGTGGATTTGAAGTTCGCTTTTTGGCAGATTGAGTTGGACACGAGCAGCAAGGAATACACAGCCTTTACGGTTCCTGGTCGGCCTCTTTACCAGTTCCGTGTGATGCCTTTCGGACTCTGCAACGCATCACAGAGGCTGGTGAGACTCATGGACCGAGTAATTCCCGCTGAAATCCGCTCAAATGTGTTCGTCTACTTGGATGATCTGCTAATACTAGCGCCCGACATAAGAACGCACTTGAAGTATCTTCGCCGAGTCGCTGAATGCCTGAAGGAAGCAGGGTTAACCATTGGGCTGAGCAAGTCGAAGTTTTGCTTCAAGTCTTTGACCTACCTCGGCTTCATAGTGGGTGGAGGTCGTCTGCGGATGGATCCAGGACGTGTAGCAGCTATTAGGCGGATGCCTGAGCCAAGGACCATGAAGGAAGTGAGAGCCTTTCTTGGGACCGCTGGTTGGTACCGTCGGTTCATAAAGAACTTCGCAACTTTGGCTGCCCCGCTCACGGAATCCTTGAAGAAGACGGGAAATAAGAAGTTTTCCTTGAGTCCAGAAGCACAGCTGGCAGTAGAGTCCCTGAAGATGGCCCTAACTACTGCGCCAGTGCTGGTACATGCGGACTTCAAGCGGCACTTTTTCATCCAGTGCGATGCATCCCAGATCGGAGTCGGTGCAGTGTTGTTCCAGCGGGATGAAGACGGCCAGGAACAACCAATAGCGTTCTTCTCGGCCAAGATGAATCGTCACCAAGTCCATTACTCCGTCACTGAAAAGGAATGCCTCGCAGCCCTGCTGGCGATTCGAAAGTTCCGGCCGTATGTGGAAGGAATGCCGTTCACGTGCATCACCGATCATGCCAGCTTGAAGTGGCTCATGTCCATGAAAGATCTTTCGGGTCGGCTGGCTCGGTGGTCATTGCAACTCCAGGGATATGACTTCAACATCGAACACAGGAAAGGAAGCGAGAACGTTGTGGCAGATACCCTTTCGCGTTGTGTTGAAGAGCTAACGGTGGACCCGTCAGAGTTGCTCGGATTCGAGACCACTGAGTTTGCTGGAGAAGAGTACACGGAGTTGTTACAAGAGGTGGGAAAAAACTTGGCCAACCTACCAGACTTGAAGATAGTGGATGGTCTCATCTTCAAGAGAGTCTTTTCGGCAAATCTGGATGACGAGGTGGAAGGCTTCGAATGGAAGTTGTGGATTCCCCAGAGTCTGACCCACAGCATAATTGAGCGTGCACATTCGGATCCAACGGCAGCTCATGGCGGAATGGGAAAAACTCTGGAAAACCTACGGCGGCAGTTTTACTGGCCTGGCATGGCACTGCAAGTCCGGGAGTTCATACGCAGGTGTGAAGTGTGCAAGGAGACGAAATCCCCGAATTTCCGGATGCAAGTTGGTATCGGTGAGAGAGTCCAGACTGAGCAGCCATTCCAGAAGCTGTACATCGATTTCCTGGGGAAGTATCCGAGGTCGAAGAAGGGACAGGCCTACATCTTCATTGTGGTGGATCACTTCTCCAAGTACACATTTCTGAAAGCCATGCAAGAGGCATCGGCCTCCAATGTAGTGGAGTTCCTCATTCACGAGGTGTTCTACAAGTTTGGGGTTCCAGAAATTGTGCATTCGGACAACGGCCGCCAGTTTACGTCCAAGATCTTCGAGGAGGCGATGGAGAGCTTTGGCATCACGCACATCAAAACGCCAGTCCACTCTCCGCAAAGCAACGCGGCGGAAAGGGTGAACCAAAGCGTGTTGGCGGCGATCCGAAGTTACTTAGAAGAAGACCATCGAGAATGGGACGCGTATCTTCCGGAGATTGAGGTGGCCCTCCGCAACGCGGTCCATTCAGCAACTGGAGAAGCTCCGTTCTTCACCGTATTCGGACGACACATGTTTCTGAACGGAGCCAGCTACAAGTTGGCAAGGAAGTTGAAGTCGCTGTGTGATCACGAAATGTCTGGGATGAGAACAGCTGATAAACTCCAAGTGATCCATGACAAGGTGCAGAAGAACCTCGAAGAGGCATACGATCGGAGTCGCCTGCGGTACGACAAAAGGGCTCGTACTTTCCTTGCGAAGCCAGGTCAGGAAGTGTATCGCCGCAACTTTGTCCCCAGCGATTTCAAAAAGGCCTTCAATGCAAAGTTTGCTCGGAAGTTCCTAAAAGCACGGGTGGTCAGGACAGTCGGCAATAATGCGTACGAGCTTGAAGATCTTCAAGGACGACCGATCGGAGTGTACCATGCCAAGGACATTAGGTTGTGATCTGGAAAGAGGAATAACAAAGTACACGAGCTCAGAATCGGCCCGACTTCCCGTAAAGCGTGGGCCCCGCGTTGGACACCGTTGGAACTGCATCTTGGCATCGAGGCCGGCGGAATCCGAATAGTCCAAATCCAAATGCTCCCAAGTATTCCTGCGCTAGCCTAAAACTCTGTGTTAGCGTCTCTCGGAATCCAGGGTGGTGTTGCATTTTCAGTTGAAGCCGTCGGGAAAATACTGAAACGAACCGATACGTCAGCAGGTTCCGCTATCGATAAGATTTGGTGGTGACACCGACTATTGATAGCGGGAGAGGATCTAGCTATTTAAATTTAGCCCGGTTCGCTCGTTAACTGGGTTAGATGGCCTTGAATACGTTCGCTGACCCATCTTGAGAGAGCGGGAGGGAACATGGCGAGCGACTTTGGTGTAGGTCAGGGTTTTGCTTTAGTTGCTGCAAGAAGTAGTAGGAGAACGGTCAGAAAAAACCCAAAATTTAAGTTCGTGATTAGTGTTTGAATAACTCAAAGTGAGTGTTTATTTATTAGTCCGGAACTTGTAAATTACAGTGTTTTTTTATATTGAAGCCGCCGGGGACCCTAACTAAAGGGCCCCGGAAATTTAAACATTTGGGAAGTGAAAACTTACCAGGCGGACCTAACCTGGTCGTCGACCACCAGCCGTCGCAGCATTGGCCTCAGCAGCATTGGCCGCAGCAGCATCAGCAGCAGCATAGGCCGCAGCAGCATAAGCCGCAGCAGCATCAGCAGCAGCAACATCAGCCGCAGCAGCATTGATCAGTAGCAGCAGCGATCAGTAGCAGCAGCAGCAGCCTCTAGCGCCAGCAGCTACAGCGACTGCCGCCAAGACGGCCAGATACGGAGATTCCCTCGGTGAGTCCGTTCCGGGAACGAATGCCCGCGCTGGCCACGTGGTCATCTCCAAGTCCACCGACGCCCTGCTTCCGGCCACGCTACGCTATCCTCCGGACCAATTGGCTCCGTGCGGAGTCGCGCTGGTCTTCGCCATCAGCGTTTTTCCTGCTGCAGTTTCAACACATGCGACGTTGAACTCTGAAAAAATTAGTTTTAGTTATTGTTTTGTGATATCATATAGTCAAGATTGTAAAGTACTTACTGTGAAATCTAATCTAAATTTAGAGGCTCAAGCCCGAACCCTAGCCCGCGTCCAACTACATCTAAATTGGGTCGCGAAATTTAATGACTTGTGGGATTTGTTTAGCGTACTTACCTTGTTAGCACGCCCCTTCTTTTCCCTTGGAGCTCCTCAGGATTAGGCGACCCGGCTGGCGAACGCCTCCAAATTTAGTGCCGTGCGGCGACTTTGCCTGACACTTGGAACTTCAAGCGTCTAAAAATTTCCCTTTCGGTTGTTTCCGCTTTGACCGCTTCTCATCTGGGCGACGGTCTGAGATCGGCCTTAAAGTTTCTAACGAAAAGAATAGATTATCAGTAGGAATCAATTATGAATGTATTTACTTATTAATCTCACCAAGAATTAAATGTAAACAAGCCACCGAAATGGTTGTGTGAGTTACCTTGGGCGGGGAGATGAGCCGATCCTAATCCACCAGGAATAGACTCCGGTCTGCCGGAGATGGGGTGTGCCCCCCACATCTTTCTTGGGGCACCCAAGGTTGGGTGGGTGCGTCGTGGCAAGGACATCGAAGCCACCAATTTCGTCGAATTGTCTTAGTTGCTTAATGTAAACATAGTTTTGTTTTGTTTTGATTTGTGCTAGAGATGGTAAATCGACGTGAGACGTCCGATGAGTCGGAATCGATTGTTCGGACTGCAGGGCATAGGGGGTACTCCGCCCTGGGACTCCGTGGCTAGCCGGCGCTGCCCTCCGGGAAAGATGCAGTTCCGTAACATGTCTTTGCTTTATTCGGATTCAAGGTCCTTGTTTAGAGTTTGACCTGGCTGCCCTTAACTCCTCTGGCATTCTCGGCTCCTTCACCGAGATTTGTGGTGAGTTTTAAGTTTTTTTGTGGTGATTTCCCCGCCCCTAAATTCGTACTCCTCGTGATTCCCAGACAGTTCTCCAAAAGACTACAACTTTCCCAGACTGTTCCCCGTTAGACTTCGCCCAGCCAGCGCCCTGAAAGGCCTTTGACTTTCGCACGTTGTAATGCCTTAGCTTTTACTCAGTTCCCCAGACAGCTCCCCGCAGGACTTCAACTTTCCCAAAACTGCATCTCGTTCCATAGACAGTTCCGCGCGTTTGAAATCACTATTTCCTTTCCCGTAATCTGTCCCGTTCGAGTTTATTGATAGTGGGGTTCAGCATTGTCATTGTCGTTGCCGTCGGTGTGACCGTTCATTGAGAAATCCAGTAATCCCATCGATCGCAACTATCGATCGTCCGACTGTCAAGGCGCCCGGTTTCTATTTAATTGGTAAACAAAACTTGGCCCATTAAAAAAAAATTCCTTTGATTCATTTGGTTCCTAGGTTTGCACATTAAAAAATATCCGTTGGTTCATTTGTTTCCTAGGTTTGCACATATGTTATTACAGATGCCCCTATGGGTCCTAATGCTCCCTACTTTGGTGAGTGGTCGCCGCCCAACTCAGGCATCTCTGTTGGTGGCGGTGGAAGCCGCCGGTGCGCGCTGTGGTGTGGTGTGATACACCGTATCGTCCTCCCCCTTCCCCAGCAAACTTTTCGTCTACTACTAATGCCCAGCTTTCCGACTGCTCAGCCGCGTCTTTTCGATATTTACTCATTGGTTCCTTGGGCAGGACAATCACTTATGGGCGCCAGATGCAACGACCTGATTTCTTATTTCTTGCTCCCTACGTAAACGTGCGGCTAGCTCAGAGAGGTTGTGGGATCGTTCCACCAAATTTATATTGGCTGAT